TGTGATTCGGCATATTAGAACCCTCAACTTGCTCACTCACCTCACATTAATTGAATTTTTTAGTTGTCATTCAGTTGTTTTTCGGTTGTGTCTGACTCTTTGTGACCCATTTGTGGTTTTCTTGGCAGAGATATTGGAGGGGTTTGCCATTTCCTTCTCCAGTTCATTTTATAGATGAGGGAACTGAGGCAAACAGGGTGAAGTGACTTGCCCAGGGTCACACAGCTTGTGTCTGAGGAAGAATCTGAAGTCAAGAAAATGAGTCTTCCTGACTCCAGGCCCTACATTCTATCCAACGCACCATCTTTCCAATGCACCATTCTATCCAACACATGAAAACTTGTATAAATAAAAAATTCATTCACAAAAAAAAATTAAAAAAAGAATGGACCAGGATCTAGGAAAAATAGATAAACTGAATAGAGAAAGCTAGATGGAAAGTGGGGATTGGTAATTCAGGGGGCAAACATAAAGTCACTTTATTAGGAAAAAAAAAACCAAGGAGATTCAGAATAGGTGTCAGACCAAGGGAATATGTCATGTATTCAATCTAGAAATGTTTTATATTGCATTAGGTGGGCTGTGATGGGCTTGATGCAGACTGAAATTTAAGATTCTATGGTAGAAGAGTCTATTTCTAGTTTCTGCCTCCATTCTATCCCACTCCCATAGTTCTGATCCTTCAGCACTTTACTTCAGGACCCAACATTGAGAAAGTTGTTCATTCTTCTTGGAGTTTGTAGTATAATGATTCGAAAGAAGAGTGGCAGCTTTGTTTTGGTTTTAGCTAAAAGTATTTCAAGGTCTTTTATTTTCTCTCTTGAGAAATAGTTGATACTGACAGCTCCAATTCATGATGCTCTTTAAAAAGTTTTCCCAAGTGAAGCCATAGTAAGTTGTCATACCTTCCATGACTTACACTGAACTGTTGGAGTAACATAGGAGAGTGGTATTTTTAACAGTCATCCTATTCATAAGTAAAATAAACTCCTATCTTACCATAGCAGAGATCAGCCTACACTGTTTGATGGTTTGTTGTAATGCTTACGATCACTTCTAATCATACTTCTTTTTTTAGGCCCAACTTTCACCATTTCAGTATTAAAAAGAAACATTTTTTTTCCTACTCCCTCAAAGCAAGAAGCTGTTATGTTACCAATAGCTGTAGCATGCTGATGAACAAGTAATTGATATCCTTAATATCTAAATTTAAAACAATTGCTATCAAAATTCTGAGAATCCACGTAGTTTCCTGGCCTTTGTTCTCCCTTTATTCTCCTTCCCCCAACTGACAACTTGGTTTTAGTGACAAGTACTGATAGGATCATTCAAGTTAAAACTTATCCTTAGAGATTTGTATGGAACCTCTGTGTCCGTATATAAGGTAGCCAGGAAGTTCAGTAGCATGAGAAATTGCGCTTCTGAATTTTATGGGCACAAAATCAGTAATCAGACTAGGAAATCATGTCTTTGAGTAAAAGTGAATGGATATGTAGTTCTGGACTGGTTGTTGAACAGAATGCATAGAAGCAATAATACACATGAGTCTTTAGGCTGTGAGAAGCTGCCGATAAGGGAAAGTGGAAAGACATCCAACAACTGATCACGCCTGAACACTTATTAAGGGAGAGATCAGTTTCTGACATGACACAAATATTTGAAAGTACTCCCAATTTCAAGCACTCCCTGTCCCAAATGCCACTGTATGGGATAATATTGACTTTCACAATGAGTCAGTTCAGTCTTATAACTAAATGTTAATATGTGATGTAACGTTTACCAGCATCTCACAACCATCAGTAAAATAACAAAACCTAGCCTTAGTTGGTACTAGATTACTTTTTTCAGAACATGGAATTCTATTACTGCTTAAAAAAAAAAAGCAACATGGTGTTAATGTGGGGCAGCTAGGTGGTACAGTGAATAGAGCAGTAGGCCTGGAGTCAGAAAAACCAGAGTTCAAATTCAGTCTCAGATACTTCTGGCTGTATGACCCTGTACTATTTGCCTCAGTTTCCTTATCTGTAAAATGGGGGTGATAATAGCATCCACTTTGCAAGATTGTTATGAGGAACAAATGAGATAGTATTTGTAAAGCACTTAGCACAGTACCAGATATATAGTAGGTACTATGCTTAAACCTGTAAACAAATCTGTATGCAGCAGCAACATCTCCAATATTTGAATAAAAGCTCTATTAAATCTCTAACTGGAACAGATAAGAGAAATTCCCATTTCAGTAAATATTTTTTAAATATTCAAGGCAATGTATAGACAGTTATGATGCAAAGATAAACTTAGATATAGGGATGAGTTAAATTGAAGCAGAATATTGTTAATATTCCCATTTGCCTATGATAGTTATTAGAACTGAATCCTAGTTCTGGGTTTTTCCTATGTGGTCACAACTTCTTTATATTTCAGAATTCAAATAACTAAACCTCCTAAGGTAAAATGTTTTGGGATTTTTTTTGGAGTTTTAGGAAAACTTTTCTCTTTTTTCTTTTCCTGGACTATTTGAAAATTGGTATGTTTATTTAATGTTATCGTCATGTTTACAGTGGTGAATTCGCAATATGAATTCCCCCAAATCAGTATCCTGATTTAATCACCAAGATTTATTAGGACTTTTTCTAACATATATTTTAGCCCTAACCTCTCAACTTCCACGGCTGCAACTCTAACTAGCTATAGGGCTAGCATTCTCTAACCACGCCTTATTCTCTCCTACCTTTATATTTTTAGTCAAGCTGTTCTCTATACCATTCTCTTTCTGTTGAATTCCTAGTTAGACTCTCAGGTCCTACTCAAATGCCGCCTTGTCTGTGAAGCCATCCCAGAGCCTGCTGTTGTGCTCAGGCATATCGTTAAACTTCTCCTGAACTCAGTTTCCTTAGCTATAGAGTGAAGTAGATGAATTAGATGAGCTCAACTGCCTTCCAGTTGTGAAACTGAATTCTCATAGTCTTTGTGTTGGTTATTTTTATTTTCTATTATTTTTTAATTGTTTTACTCAGTGTCAGAAGATACATTTTGACTGTTGGGAGTTTTGCTCAATTGTTTGACTTGATTAGTTAACTTAGGCAACCTCATTTGATACGGAGACTCATATAGCCACAGAGAAGCTTGGACAAGTTTATTTAAGTCCTTTCTCACCCATGAAGCAGAAATGATGGAATTTCTCTGCATTGGTTCAGAATAAATACATTTTATTCAATAAGTTTTTATTATTTTCACTCTATACAGTCTTCATAAGCTTTTTCTACCCATTTAAATAAAAGATCAAATGCTTTATTTGGATGATTTTTTTTAAAAAAATGCAACCTCATTATGTTGTGTTATGAGTTATATAAAGTGCTTTCACTTGATAAAACCACAAAGAATTATAAATGTGAACTGTTGTTAAATAGATCAAATTTATAAAGTGCTTTAGGGTTTGCAAAGCACTTTACACATATTATCTCATTTTATCCTCACAACAACCCTGGGAGGCAAGCACTATTATTATCCCCGTTTTACAGATGAGGAAACTGAAACATTCAGATAAATGTTAAATGATTTGTCCAGAATCACACAGCTCGTTCTTATCTGAGCCCTGATTTGAACTCAAGTCTTCCTGACTCCATGTCCAGTGCTCTATCCACTATGCCATCTAGCTGCCACTATTATTATTATATATATTTTATTTTTATTTATTTATTTTATTTTTTATATTTTTATAGTTTATTTATATATATGTTTATATATAAATTTTTTTTTTTTGGTGGGACTCCAAGTTCCTGACAGCATAGGTACTTTGCTAGATGCTGGAGGATGCAGTACAAAGATTAAATATTTCCTGCTCTCAACTTCTTACTGGGAGGCTACTGGTGAATAGAAAACATACCTAAGTAAATATAAAAAGTATTTACAAAATAATTCCAAGAGGAAGAGTACTCCTAAAAAAGGTCTTGTGTAGGAAGGGGCAGCTTAGCTGTGCTTTGAAGGAAACTAGGAAATCTTCACTATGGAGGTGAGAAGGGAGTGTTGCAGACCTGGAGGTACATTTGTGCAAGGCATAGATACAGAAGATGGAATGTCCAGGGAACTACTAGAAGGCCACTTTGCCCAAAATAGCACACGTAACGGAAAAATGTGAAATAAGACTGGAAAGGTGGGTGAAAACTAATTTGTGAAGGGATGTAAATGGCAGACTGAGAAGTTTTCATGTTTTCTTAGAGGCATAGAAGGCCACTGAAGATTTTTCAGTGAGGGGGATAGACTGACTGTCAGATATGTGTTTTAGGAATATCATTTTGGCAGCTGTGTGGAAGACATATTGGAGTGGAGAGAGAATGAAAGGATACCAATTAGGAGGATATTGCCGAAATATAGGTGAAAGGTGATAAGGACCTGAACTAAGGGTATAAGCTGAGTGGAGAGAAAAGCAGAGATACAAGAGATGTGCGTCTCTGATGCCTGCAATCCAGATTATCTGCCATCAGGTGGGCTAAGTTACGGTGTTGTTTTTTGAGCGTCTTCCTAAGGGTATGGTAAAAACGAATCAAAGATTACCATGCTGTTTCTATTCAATCACATTTTTCTCTTAACACTGGGAGACTTTTATTAAAACTAGTAAACATAAATGAAACCAATGGCTCAAAAGCTACAGTTTTTGGGAGTTTTTTTGGAGTGACTTTCTTTATGGGAGTGCTTATTTTTCTCTTTGGAGCCACCTCTAACATTCATTCCCAAATGTATTTCCAAGAGCCTAACTTCTGACTCAGAATGTACTTCTTAAAGAGACTTCTTGTACAAAAATGCCAATTTATACTAGAGCTTGACTTTTTAAAGAAATAAATCTAACCAATTAGTTTTGAAACAAAGTCACATGACTTCCATTTTGGAATACATAATTCTTAAATGAATACTTTTCAGAATAATATCAGAAACAAAGTTACGTGATGTTTTTTTCTATGAGATCCTAAAATTTCTATATTTTTCTCTGTCTTATTTTTCAGCTATCTAAGAAATATGGTGTCAACGTGTGTGGAGAAGGCGGGGAATATGAAACATTCACTTTGGATTGCCCTCTGTTTAAGAAGAAAGTAGTTGTGTAAGATACCATGTCAGCATTTTCTTTTCTTAAATTTAAGTGATGGAAACAACTTAACATTGAGCTTGAGGCAACTTTTGTGGCAGAAGTAGAACATGTCCTCTAAGTTCACAAACACTCAATTTGTTTAATACTGGCAAAGTCCTCTGAATACCTAAATCAATACCTGACAGGATGAGGCCTTCATAGAATGCTATAAACTTTTTAAACATTGCACTTTCGTTTACTTGCTGATTATGGCCTGCAGTAAAACTGGTACCTACACACTGACACTTTTATCCTTTCGTGAAGTGTGAATTGCCTGTATTATTTATCTTTCATTACAGCTACATTTGATAAACTGCCACATCAGTAGCCTGTGGGTTCCATTAACTCCGTCTTTTTCCTGCTTTTTGGCTTTAGCAACTTGGAATGGTAATAGTAAACATTTTCTTTCAATTACTTGGAAGTGTTTTCACATGTAAACTTTGCTTTAAGTTTCTCAAGTATAGTCAGAGTAATATTTCTTTTCTATAAGTTAGCAAAATTGTGATAAAGAAATGAAGGCATGTTGTTCATTTTGAGATATTTCCCGTGTTCTCTATAATGTGGTTCTTCCCACATGTTAAGAGAAACACTTAGCTGCCTTTTATATAAGTATATACCTCTCCCTGGAAAGAACTGTTGGAATCGGGGCAGCTAGGTGGTGCAGTGGATGGAGTGCCAGCCCTGAAGTCAGGAGGACCTGAGTTCAAGTCTAGCCTCAGACCAAACACTTGACACTTACTAGCTGTGTGACCCTAGGCAAGTCACTTAACCCCAATTGCCTAAAAAAATAAAATAAAAAAGAATTGTTGGAATCATACTTGATTTTCAGAAATCCAACTTAATAAACAGCTCCAGTTTATTTTTAATATAAATAGCTTATTCCTTTGTACATGCCTTTTAACAATATGCTGATATTAACAAGACATGAAATGCTGTGAAAGAATTTAGAAACTGTCTTAGATAAATACATTACAAAATTTTCTTCACCTTGTGAAAAATTGCCATGGCGTTGTCTTTACCATTAGGCAAGATTCTTTTTTTTTTTTTCACTTAAGTGGGGTTTTTTTTTTGAATTCTTGAATTATTTAAGTGCTACTCTGTGCCAGGTTTTGTTATAGACACTATAGAGATAGAAAAATGTGCAATACTCATCTTATTAATTAGGGAAGATGAGACTTTTACACATATGAAAAGTGCCATAAAAGTGATACCAGCAAAGTATAGCAGAAGTTGAGAGGAAAGAGTATTCACTTCTGGCTCATTAGAGGAGGATGCATAGAGGTTATACTTTGTGAGCTGGGTTTTTCTATTATGTTTATTATTGAAGCAATTTAGCAACACAGCAATTTAGTGGGTTATATGAATGATACTGAGGAATATAAAATTACTGAATCAATAATATTTGGTGATTCTAGAAATATATTTGTATAACTTAGAGTATAGTGAAGGATCCATATGTTAGCATGGTACTAGCCAAACCAGGCAGAGATTGTAACAGTAAAAAGAGAAATTGCTAAATAATTGCATTTTTTTTTTCTGTTGCCTGGATACTATAATTTCCCATCTTCTCCCACCACTCCTTGTGTACTTACTTGCAGTACACCCAAGATGTTACAGGAGGTAATGCTGATTTCCAAACTGGTGCTAACACTGGAAGGTCAAGTTTTAGCTACTGATCTCTATCTACTATTTTGAGGGGAGTTTTGGGAGGGAAAACTAAATAAAATCTTTATTTCATCTCACAGATCTTGTGATCTAAAAAATGTTCATGTATTCCCCATAATTGTGCCTTGGCTAGTATACCTTAAGTTGGGTAATGTCTAAAACCCATAACTTGGAATTCTTTAATGAGACCAATTTAACAACCTCCCCTGTTGTTTCTGAAATTAGAGTTGCATTCCACAATCAGCAAACCACCCAGTGAGTGTTCTACAGACCAAAATAGTCACACATTAGGTCCCATTTGTAATTATGAGAAGATCATTTTCTTTCTTTTTCTTAGAAGCAGTGTTTTTTTGTTCTTTTGATAGATTTTGATTTTATACCACCATCATTTCTCCTCAAATGCTGCCCCAATCTTATTTTGTAATAAAGAAAAAACATTTAAGTAGAATTGATAGGCCTCATCTGACATCATATGCCAAATGCCACATTCATAATCGCTCACTTCTCTAGCAAGAGAAAATATATTTCATTGTTGGTTCTTCTACATCTAGTTTGATCATTACAATTAATGAGAGGTTAGCTGCCTATTGGTGTTTTCTCTTGTGCTTTTGTAATCATTGTATGTATTGGACTTCTTATCCTCCTTACTTCATTCTGTATCAGTTCATCAAGCCCTTTTCATATTTCTTTGGATTCTTCATGTTCATCATTTCTTTATACACAATAAGAGTCCATTACATTCACATAGAACAATTTTGTCAACCATTCCCCAGTTGATGGATACCTACTTTGGTTCTAGTTTCTTGCTACAACAAAAAAAAGTATTATTATCATTATTCTGCTTTCTCTCTTTGACCTTCTTGAAGTCTGTGCTCAGGAAGGAGATCTCTTAAGTCAAGTAGTAAGAACAGTAGTGACATTTCTCCCACATAGTTCAGATTGTTTAACAGAACATTTGGAATAATTCACAAAACCATCAACAACAAAATAGTGTACCTATCTCCCCACAGCCATTCTAACATTAAATATTAACATCTTTATCATCTCTGACTCTTTGAGTTGTGTGAGGTGAGACTTTACGGTGTAAATTTTTATTTCTTTTACCAGTAATTTGGAGTAATCTTTCATATTGTTATCACTAGTTTGCAATTCTTTCAAAATGTTTCTATCCTTTGAAAAAATTTTTTATTGCGAACTCTTTGTCTTATATGTCTGTAAACTGTGAATGTATTTGAGGCAGTTTTTTTCCTACTAGCCCATATCTCTTCTTATTCTAGTTGCTTTGATTTTTTAGTGCATAAGCTATTAAATGTGGGTAATTGGAATTATCTTTTTTGATGAGGAATTTTCATTCTAGCCATGGTTGTGCAAGGTACCTACTTCAATTTTCTTTTGATTTTATTATGATATGACCTTGTATATTAAAGCAGCATGGCATAGTGAAAGGTAGGTGCTATTATTTTATTATTGCCATTTTGCAGATCAGAAAACTGAGGCCAACAGAGATTAAGTGACTTGCCCAGGGTCACACAATTAGGAAGTGACTTGAGGCCAGATTTGAACTCAGGTCTTCCTGACTCCAGCCCTAGCATTCTATCCATTGCATCACCAGTTGCCCAACTATGTATAAGGCAAAAAAAAAAAAAAAAGTATATTTTGTATCCTGGGAACTCTATATTATAGAGGGAATCTTAAAAGATTTTTGAGAAGGGGAGTCACATGATCTCCACCTTTGGAAAATTACTTTGGCAACTGTGGAAGATGAATTGGAAAGAGAAAAGACTAGAAGTAAGTATGCTATTCATCTAATTGAGCTAAACTTAGTTGTTATGTAATGTGTAGAGAAGGGATTTTGGAGGTGGAATCCAAAGACTTAGTAACTATTTGGATTTGGGAAAGGAGGGTGAGAACTAGGGGAAAATCAAGTATCTAAATTCCTTGACCCTGTAATTCAGTTAGATATAGATGTGTATACATATATGCATATTACACATGTGCATGTATATGTATACAAACATATATACATTCATGTCTATGTATTCACTTATGGATAGATAGATATGTCTTATTCTAGATATGTCTTATTCTGAGTCTTTAATCTCTATCAGAAGGTGTATTTAAGCCTATATCCTTTACCTTCTGAACTATCATATTCCAAGTTCTCTTCTTTATAATGGTGACTGCTAATGGTGCTGTGGATCTTGACTGTGGCTCCTCAGGACTTAAATTCTTTCTTTCTATTTGTTTCTAGTATTTTTTTCTTTGACTTGGAAACTCTGGATTTTGGATGTTCCTTAGAGTTTTCATTTTGGAATTTCTTTCAGGAGGTGACTGGTAGATTGTTTCTACTTCATCCTTTGATTCTAAAACATATGGGCAGTTTTATGATTTCTTGAAATATGATGTCCAGGTTCTTTTTTTATTTAATTCTAATTTTGAAGTAGTCTAATGATTCTTAATTTATCTCTCTATGTTCTGTTTTCCAGGTCAGTTATTTTTGCAATTAGATATCTTATATTTTCTTCCCTATTTTCAATCTTTTGACTTTGTTTTAATATATCTTTTTTTTTCCTTATGGAGTCATTAGCTTCTATTTGTGCCATTCTGATTTTCAGAGTTTGCTGCTTAGGCAAGGTTTTGTACTTCTTGTCCCAGGCTGTTAATTCTCTTTCTAATTCTTCCATAGGTTTTATTTCTTTTCCAATTTTTTTCCTCTAGAGCTCTCATTTTATTTATGTAAATGTCTTTTATCTCTCCTTTTTTTTTTAATACTTGCTGTATCTCTTCCAGGAATTCTAGTTGAATTTGAGCATATATTGTGTTTTTCTTAGAAGTTTTGTTTGTAGATAGTATGGAGTCATTCAGATCTTCTGGGTTTCTATCTTGAGTGTCTCTATCACCATAATAACTTTCTATGGTGGGATTCTTTTTTGTTGTTTATTTTTTCTTCCAGCCTACATCCTGACTTCAGAATTCATGTTAAGGTAGATCTCTTCTCACTTCTAAAGGAATGATCTAGGGTGATCTTTCTTATGCTTTCTTAGTGTATTGAGTGTTGTGTTATTCTAGGCTGTCAGAGACAGCTCACAATGAGGACCTCCAAACTTTCAGTGTTCCCGAAGTGGTCTGATCCTGGGCAAGTCTAATTGTTTTCTCCTTCCTGGTCTTAGCTCTGCAAGTTGCTGACCTGGATTTGGGTTTTGAGCAACAGTAGACTGCTGCTGGATTCAATTGGCTCAGCATGACAGAACTATAGGCTTCACTCTGGTCTGGGAATTCTGCCCTGTTTATTCTTCTTTAGGCTTCCTATGGGGCAAGAACTGGAACTGCGAACCCACTCCATTCCTGGGGTCAGATTCACACAGCTGCTATTTGCATCTGAATTTGTTTCTTGCAGGGTACACGGGATAGGATTGCATCTACACCTCACTGTGAACCCTAAGCACAGGTTCCCTCTTCAATACACCTTGAATCTGTTATTCAGAATTCAGTAGTGGGTGACAAAGCTGCCATTTGGCACCTGTTTCATACCCTTTTCAGGTTTAGGCCTCGCTGTACTAGGTCTGGACTCTCCTTTCCTGGAATTCTCTTCTCTGCTGCACTCCTGGCCAAACCTCTTCCAGACCAGAGGTACAAAAGCAGTCTGGTGACTATGTACCCCTTCTTAGAATAATATTTTTAAATGAATATAATAAAATACATAGGATTACAAAGAAAACCAAATACATGAAAACACAATTGTCAACATATTAAAAAAAAAAGCAACTTTATGGACTCTGTTTTGAACCCCTGGTTCTAAATAGAGCATTTTAATAATTAGATATGATAAACATTTGGTGAAAATTGAATAGGGATCTTAAAGAATATGCCCATTTTTCAATTTTCCATGACATGTTTATAAATATTTAACATTTACTAGGACTTAACTGATAAAACCCAAGAAGTATTAAAGCACATCCTTTAGAGACCACAGTGCAATAAAAAAGATCAAAACAGTATCGTGCTAATGACTGAGAGGACCAAACAAGAAGAAGTAGAAACATTGAATAATTGTAGAAAAAATTTATAACAAAATGACTGCATACTATCATTTGTAATATGCAGCTAAAGTAGTCCTTAGGCAGAAAATCCTATCTCTAGACATATCAACAAAAGAGACAGTGTAAAAATCAGTAGATTGGGTGTTTGACTCTAAACTCTAGAAATAAACAATTCCAAAACAGAAAAATAGAAATCTTGAAAATCAAAAAAGTAAAATGGAAAATAAGGCCTTTGAGATGACAAATAAAACTAATGGGTGTTTTTTTTAGGAAATCAAAAAGGGTAAATTAAATCATTAGACAATTTTTTAAAGGTAACTAAGTTACAAAAATCAAAATAAGAAGAATTCACGACAAATATAGAAGAAATAAAGGGAATTGCCAGAAACTAATGTAGCTATGTATATGTCATCAAAACTGACAACAAATGAAATAGGTGAATGTTTACCTAGATAGTTAATACCCCACTTAACAGAATAATAGAGAATCTAAGCAGCCTAACATCAAAAAGAGAAATTGAGAGATCCATAAATTTCAAGGTCTATATAGGTTTACAAGTTAATCCTGCCAGTCTCATAAAGTATAGGTGTCAACCTCATAGCCCACAGGTAGGCTGCATACAGCCCTCAAAGTTTTGATGTAACCAGAAACAGATTAAAATGTAATTGGGAAATGTTTAACAAAATAAATAAAAATACAATACAACATAGATAATGTTAGTTTGTGCAATTTTTCTAAGTAAGTATGGAGCCCCAGGATCTGTTTCCATTTCTATAAGATGAATATCATCCTGATATCCAAGCCTGTGATAGATAAAGCTGAGAAAGAAAATATAGTATAAAGTCACTAATCAATATTAATTTTATAATATTGAATAAATGATTATCAAAAAGGCTATAATAGGAAATTATAAAAATTATTCACGAAGGCCAGTTTTTAGTAGGAAAACTGATATTTTACATTTAACATTAGTAATACTAATATAATAGATATTAACTGCAAAAAGAGAAACAATCTCATGTAGTTCATTGGATGCAGAAAAACTGACAAAATGTAACAGTAATTTATGTTAAAAATGATTTTTAAAAACCATGGGAATTAAAGGCTCTTTTTAAGTTTTATCAAGAGTATCTAAAACTAAGAACTAACATTTATAATGGAGAAACTGTAGAAACTCTACTGGAAAGATCAGGATGTGGTAAACAAAAAGTGTTCATTGTCTTAACAGTTATTTGACATAGTATTTTAAAAGCTAGCCATAGCAGTGAGACAAGAAAAAGAAATTCAGAGTGAAAACATAGGCCATAGAGGAGTTAAAATTATTGTATATTTGTAAACAATATGATGTTAGTGAATCCCAGATATTCTGTGAAAAACCATTTCAAAAAATCAATTTAGTAAAGGAGTAGTGTAAAAAATAAATTCATTAAAACTATCTTCTTTCCTTCATATTAATAATAAAACTCAGGAAGAGATAAATTCCATTCAGAAAAACTACAAAATAATTATAAAATATATAGGAGTTTATCTAGCAAGATATCAACAATACCTGTGTAAATCCTACTATAAAGCAATGTTTACAGAAATGAAGACTTTAAATCATTATAGAAATATTTTTTTTTTTTGCTTATAACTTGTTTGGAAGCCTACTTAAAATGATTCAGCTTAAATTTAGTGCTATACCAATCCAAGTAGGAAGAGATTACTTTTTAGAACTAAACACAATAACAAAATTCATTTGAAGGAACAAAAGTTCAAAAAAATCTCAGGAGAAATAAAGCGTTTTTTAAAAAGGAATAAAAGGTCTCAGTATTACCCAATCTCAGACTATATAATATTGTATATAATAAAGCAGTTATCATTAACAACCATTTGGTACTTGTTTAAAAAAAAAAAGAAGAGAAGATCTGTAAATAGACTAGATAATCAAGTCCTGAAATGAAGAAGATGAATACAGTAGCCCTTTGTCTGATAAAACCAAGAACCCAAAGAACTGAGGGAAGGACTCCTCATGTTAAACAAGAACAGGGTGGGGGAAGTTTCAAGCATTTTGGCAAAAACATTTTAGACCAACATCTGTGGTTTTGGGGAAGAGACTCAGGCAAACTATCAACAACTCCAGGAAAGATTCCTTTTGATAATAAGAGAAGTGCAATTTAAAACAACTATGACATAGTATTCACCCCTCAAATGGCAAAGATGATGAAAAGAATCGATTTTGGAGGGCCTGTTTGGGAAGACAGGTATACTAGTACTATCCTCATGGAATTCTGAATTGGACCAACCATTCTAGAAATCAATTTGGAATTACAAGAGAAAAGTCACTAAACTCTTTTTGTCTTTTGCCTTGGAAATTTGCTGCTATGCCTATTACCCCAAGGAGATCACAGCTAAAGGATTTTATTTTTATTTTGTTTGCCAAAATATTTATCCTAGTAATTTTTATGGTAGCAAAAAAACTAGAAACAAAGTGGCTGCCCCTTGGAGTAGCTAAACAAATTGTAGCCTATGAATGTAAATAATCTGGAATTAAGGTCAAGAATGTAGAAGGAGATATAAGTTAGGTTATTAACATTTATTAAGTTCTTTAAAGTTTGCAAAACTACATATAAACACATATGTATGTGTGTACAGACATATACATAGCTATTAAAGATTAAAACTTCACTAAGACTTTATTGACACCCTATAACATGCACGTACACATACTTGCATGCACACGTACATACATACATACAATCTCATTTGATTCTCAAAGCAATGAGACAGGTGCTCTTACTATATTCATTTAAGTCAAACCAATGAATACCACAGAATTGTGTAGGAGAAGCAAAGGCATATAAGTAGTCAAGTTTACACATTGGAAAGAAGTCAGAGAAACAGGTGGTAAGTGTGGAGAGAGGGCCTGGAGGGTTTTAAATACCTGAATTCACTTAGTGATGCCTCTTTTTACATCTGGAAGAGAGGTTAACCCTTGCATGTCCAGCTTGTACTGTATTTCTCCATAGGACCGTGACATAATAATTGCTTGGGGGAGGGGGAACACCTGCTTTTTTTGTTTCCCATTTTTCTCAAGATGTAAGAAGAGTAGTTTTTGTTTTGCTTTCATTTTATGGAGGGCACTCTAAGAATTTCTTTAACAGTAAGAATATTTTTAGTACTAAGTGTCCTTCCATGAGTAATATTTGATTGATGAGTTATGACATCAAAAATAGGTATTATCCATCTCAGTACCTGTGATGAGTTGGAAGAAAGCAGACTCTGCTCATAAAATTTAAAATTAAAATTTAACACTTTGGAGCCAATATGTCTGGATTTTCCACTGTTGCCACTAATGCATTTTACTAATATAAGTTCTATCAAGAAATCTTTAACATCACTGATGAAGAATAAAGTGGTATCAGGTTTTTATCTTATGATACTATTTCTTTTATAATCTTAGCATTATATAAACAATAATATTGGTTCTTACAACATTAAGGAAAGGGAAATTATTTTTATGTTTTTTGAATTATGTTGAAGTGTGAACCAGAATAGTTCTTATAGGAAAGACAAGGTTTAAAAAAATGCTTAGTTATTAAGACTTTATGCATAATGCTAGTTATTCATATGTGCTTTAAAGGGTAACTCTGATGAAATTTAAGTAATTTACATGTATCCATATGGTGCCAACAGTTCATACCATTTTCCCTGAATGTGGTAATTACAGTGTCAGGCAATCAATTTTAATAGCAGTGATACTGCAGTGTGAAAAGTTCATAGAGAACTTAAAACCATCACTGGTATTGCTTTTGTGGAGGATAATTGAGATTTTCTGTGAAATTATTCAAAATGAAAAGAGTATTGAAGATAAAGCACCATTGTTTAATGTTTATGCCATACCAATGAACTATCTGAAAAGAAATAGAATATAAGTTTGAAATTCATTGTTTGGGACACTTTAAATGAACCTAGTTATCTTACAAAGTCATTTTTCTATATAGACTTAAAATCCAAGTGTTTCCAAACCAATTACTGATTTATACAAAATAGATGTTGGATGTTATTATAAATGGAGGGGGCATGTAATAAGATTTGTTGGAGCCCCATAGTCAGTAGGAGAAAGAAGTCATCAACATACCCTGCAAGTTTAGCAAATGCATGGTAATATATTCCATCAATGTCATTTCTGTATTTCAGAGATTCATCAGAAGTAGTTTTGCATTCAGCTGATGCCTTTGCGCCTGTGGCTTACCTTCGTTTTTTAGAATTACATTTGGAAGAAAAGGTAAGCCTTTCTGGGCCTGTACATGCACTTGCTCTGGTCTACATATGAATGAAATATCCAGATGCAAAGGAGGAACTCAGTTATTTTAAATACTTTTTCTAGATATTTGATATCAAATAATTAATCAATAAAACAAAAAGTTAAGGACCACAAAGAACTTGGCATGCGGGGATGGGGGAGGGCGGTGTGTAAGAGCAAATTTTTCAAGACAAAGTAGAACTGAGTACTTTCAGGTTTTGCTTATCACACGGACCATTGTTAGCATAATGTGGCTATCTTGGAAAGATTGGAGAAAGAGAAGAGAAAATCCAAGGAGTAAGTAAGTATAAAGACATTAGTCCATAAAGATAGTAGTCTCCAATGTGTTCTCCCTTTCTTGTATCCACAAATTTATTCAGATGCACCATCTCTCACTGGAAGATGACCAAGAGTTGTACCTCAGGTCTATCTATCTTCCTAGGCTTTCTTAATTTGGGTTTCAGTACTGTAAAGCTGCCACAACTAGACATATTTCACACTGGGAGTTGATCTGTCTTGGGTTTGTGCTTCAGCACCAAAAAAGGCTGCTTCAGAAACTTCTCCCTTCCCTGCATGGTTTGCTTGGTAGTACTTAGAAACCCAGTAGTTTCTCCTGTTTATGTTTCCATGTGCATTTATTACAGATAGTTCAAAACACATGACCTTTTCTTCAGACCATGTTTGCCATCTACCATGCACCTTCACCCAAAGTATTTCAACTTTCAAGTAGACATTTTAGTGTTCTGTATGCATATTTACTGTAAACTTTATCCATTTGTCCCCTTCCCCCCTTGCAGCAAAACTAGGCCTGCACTGAGCAGACCCTCAGGTTTCTGCTTATAGAATGGCCAGATGCTCAAAGGCACTAATTCACATTTAGACTTAGTTTCTTAAATTTTCAAAATCCCCAATGCCTGACATAACTATGTCGCAACTAATTATATGCGTAATGATTGAAATGCATTGGCACAAATGGTTTAGTTCATCTGACCTTTCTATGTAGAATACTCTTTATTTACTTTTTTTAGCTTTTTATTTTCACTGTCTTTTTTTCTGCATTACATGGAAATCTATACGTTCTGCAGAAGAAATTATTTTCATATATGTTCTTTAATAGAACTTTAATTTCATATTGTGAAATTGAGTACTTTATTCACTACTACCACCAATCTCTTCACCTTTCATTCACATCAATAAATTCCTCTATAACTTAGGGGTCATATACATCTCTGATTCTCTTTTGTTATTACCTCTTTTCCTCTTCCCATTTCACTCTCCTATTACTATCTTCTGTTTTGTCAAAATGCTATTCTTTCTCTCCTCTCTGTCCAATTTATCTTCTCTTTTGGAATACAGTCATCACTGTGCAGTAGCATTTAAGATGAGGATAAAATGATAACCAGTTAATTTCACCAGTAAAATTCACTCCACTTTATTTCACTACTTAAATTTATTATTTTTGTTGCACCCATATTTGATTCTGAAGTGTTCTAAGGTTCTTGGTAGAACAAGAAAATATTATTTATTCTTGTTTATTATATTACCATTGATAATAAAATGCAGCTTTATAAAATTCTGGATAATTACATGCATCATGTGGAAAGAATTAATTTAGGCTGAGTTTTCTTTGCAGCTTTTGTGTTATTTCTTATTATACGAGAAATTTTATCAATATCCTATTACCACTCCAAACTAATGAACAGATCTACTGACACTAGTCCCCAAATAACAATGAATTGCTTTGATATTCTCTTTTTATTGAGACTGTACATTATTTATATCTCCTTCAAATCCTTACTAACTTGTTACATTTTTAAGTCATTTCTACTTCATATGTTTCATCATAAAAACATGTTTTCCTGACATAATTTTTTTTAATATTTATACTATAACTATGGCAGTTAGGTGGCACAGTGGATAGAGTGCCAACCCTGGAGTCAGGAAGACTCAACTTCCTGAGTTCAGATCTGGCCTCAGACACTTACTAGCTGTGTGGCCCTGGGCAAATCACTTAACCTTGTTTGCCTCAGTTTCCTCATCTGTAAAATGATCTGGAGTAGGAAATGGCAAACCACTCCAGTATCTTTAACAAGAAAACCCCAAATGGATCATGAAGAGTCAGACACAACTGAAATGAGACCGAACAAACACACTGTACTATCCATCATTGGCATTCATTTCATTTACTTCTTTGAGCTCTCATTGCTAAATATTTCAACCAAATTGGACTGTAAAAATAACTATTATGAGATGTTAGGGTATCTTTCATTAAAATTCTACTCCAATATCTCATCGTGGTTTGAAGAGCATCCCAGGTTATTAAAGCTAAGTTGGTTGAACAGAAGTTCTGACGGATGCTATACCAAACTAGAAAGTTTTCTGGTACAGCAGACTATTGTGTTCATCTTCTGAGGCCTAGAAACTTAACACTTGAATTTTAAACAAACAGTAGATATTTTGAGAGAGGTCAAGCAAATGAGGAAGTATTCTACATAGGAAGGTGTTATGACCCACATCCATGAAGGGCAAACTTATATTGATTTATAGTACCAAATGATTGAATTTTAAGTATTATTAGAGTATTTTTAAAATTATTACAAAATGTGACTTTCAGTGAACAATTTTACCTTTCTGTATTTCTGTTTCTTCAACTCCTAAGGGATGGGATTGAATCTGATAATCTCTGAAGGCCTTTCTACATCTAAAGGTCTACAATTCTGGGTGTCACTAGGACAGTATTTTCATATGTATTAGTATTTAAACTAATCTACTAAATATTCCAGTTGTTTAAAGTATCCTTAAAGTAAAGAATTTATATTTGAGCTAGTGTGAAAATGATGTCAGTCAAACATGTGATCATAAACTAAATAAGCCAAATAACAAAAAAGTCTAAGGGGAAAAAAGTAGAAATATATTAATATTTCTTCGAGGCCACTGACTTTATTGCTCATGGCAAACTTGATGTTAAAATGCACCATACATCACTTCAATGTGACAGGCTAGGGAAAATGAAAAACACAAAGCTTTACATAAATCAAGCAAAGGATTGTATTAAAATGCATAACCTTTTACATAAGAATCAAGATTTTACTTTTATCTCTTCAGAATCTCTTTCCTACTTATGTAGATATTTTAGATTTTGTTAAGGCTCCAGATTTCAAGCAACATTATAAGGAATGATATTTGAAATTCATGGTAGACAAAACCATTATATTTTTAAAGCGATAAGGCTCATGGAAATGAAGCTCAAATTATGCTAATAGGAACTAATCATCTTTGGTACTTGAATAAGAAAATATTTTGGTTTTTTTTTTCTTAAAATTTCCCCAACGAGAAAAGTGTTGAGTCATTTGGCTTCAAATCAGTTTGTTTTATATCTTGCTAATATTTACTTACTTTACTTGAGGAAATGTTCTTTCAGTCTCATAACCTAGCCTTACTTCACTTTCTGGGTTTTTTTTTCCTTCAAGAAATCAAATGTTTTGCAACATGTTATACTAAATATCTTGTTGATTTTTATCTTAGATACAGAGGTGAAGGAGATTTTATCATTTAAGCACAATATCTAGAAACAAAATAGAACCTTTTTGAACATAACATTCAGTTGAATATATCAACCATGGTCCATTTATTAAATATTATTAGAGTTACTACTACTACTACCAATCCAATCAATTTAAATAAAAATTACAGCCAAAATGGTTGTCAAATAATTCTTGTATCCTATATACAGACAGAATTAAAATTGCTCTTGGAAAATATTTGAAAATTCCTGCATCATCAACAAGTGGGCTTCAGAGGGATAAATTTTTTATCCAAGCAATTCTCAAATAGCATCTACTACAAAATTACAAATGCCATTGTGGTCCATACCAGTAGAGGAAATTACCCACATTGATGAAATTACAGTTATTTGATATATTGAAAATGCTACAAAAAAGGAACAAAATCATTGCCTACAGCCCTGTAGTCAAGTACAGCTTCAAAAGCAAAACAAAGACACAGAGGAGAAAAATGTAGTTGGGAACTACATAATGCTAGAACAACAAAAGTTTTATCTCCTTTATCAAAATCCATCACATCAGTTGATTGACATTTTTGAAATGAAGCTGGCTTATTGCCTTAATTCCATTTGAAAAATAGTTGTCATGGCCTTAGATATAACTTTAGTTAAAGAGGGAGGTTTTAGTTTATTTCATGTAATTGTAAGAAAACCATGATGGAGTGGTATTTCATCTTCATTGTGTCTATGGTAGAGTCCTTATGTTTCATTTTTATACTCATAAAGGAATTTATTATTAGACTGTTATATCTTTATACAATTCTAGATGGTGCTCATGAATGAATTAAAAAGGTATCAGATCAGTTTTGCTCTAAATTTTTCAAAGTACTTATGATGATGTCCCCCATGTTATTTGTTTAAGCTTTTAAACTTAAACATCTTTTCCTCAGATTGTATGTAAGTGATAATTTTATATTACTTGAATTTTATATACATGTGGCAATTTTGCCTAGTGTTTCTTATTACTTTGAAAATACAAACCACTGTTTCCTTTGCCTTTCTAGTGTGCATATTCTTCAGATAAATCTCTTCTTGTTTAACTAAAAAGACAAGGTAGAAATTTGTTTTAGATTCTTTCTGTCAGCACAATAAGCCCTTGTGCCTCAGGGAGAATAACATTTTATTCATCGTTATGGTTTAATACATTGCTCTGAAACTTCAAGATGCATTTTTGCAAAAAAATTGAACCAATCTACCTGTGTTTCTTTGCTTGGTAGTAACACAGAAAATGAAAAAAAAAAGTAGAAAAATACAAAAGTTGTGAGAGAGTTAGATAACTTAATAGATAGCCTTTTGGGAAATAAATTGCTAAGTACAAAAACAAATCATTTTATTAATACTATTAATAGCATTCATTTTGAAAATCTAATAAAGCTTCACTTGTTTCCTTGTTGTATAAACCAGGTCATCACTTGATACA